GTGTGTGGGTGTGTGTGTGGGTGTGTGTGTGTGTGTGTGGGTGTGGGTCAGCGTTTAAACGCCTGTTATGCCGGCAGCCGAGAGTCCCAAGGTCCAGGAAGAGAGTGAACCCTAAAAGAGATGCGTGCGGGCCTGCGGTGGGCAATGGCAGGGAATGCCCTACAGGGGGCACCAGTTGCTGTGTAGTGCAGCTGAGGAAAGTGAGAATGAGTGAATAAATGAAGTAAACACTGCACCAAGGGACATCAATGGTGCCGCAATCTGTAAAACGTCTTGCATGGAAAAAACCTTTTGGGGGGGGGGTCCACTGGTAACTGTTTGGCAGGATACTTTTGGTTCAAGGCATCTCTGAGCAGACAGAGCAGTGCTTTATAATGGGGACCTGTGTAACCTTGGTGTTCACACTGCCCCCTGGCTGTAGATGCTGGTTTTGCACCAATTTATTATTGCTTATTTAGTAGATGCTGTTCACCAGTGTGAGTTGCCTGTTTTACCTTAATGGGCTTTTAAGTGGCTTCTGTGTTTTTAATTTGATTCTGTTTCCTATCCTGTTTCAGCCTTAACTGCATACAGCTACCTCACCATCTTCGATCTCTTCAGGTAAGGCCGTCTGCCTGCTTTGACGCAGTTTCCGGAACTTTCCCCTGTCCCCCCCCCCCCCCCCCCCACGGCAGCAGTTGGCTCATCACTGTCCCCTTTGTGTTCCCACAGTTTGATTACTTGTCTCATAAGTTACTGGGTTACCATGACGAAACCCAGCCCAGTCTACTCTTTCGGGTGAGTCCCACGCGGGCGCGTCACGCATGCCTACATTATTCATAACGCCGTCTGGAATCTGACACTCCTGCTGCTTCCAGAAGGATCCGGCGTTTCTGTCAGAAATGAGTCATTTAAAAGTCCTGTTTTGGTTCAATAGCTGGGTCCCGGCATAAGCTGCAGGCAGAAATCAATCTGTGGCGTTGGAACAGAGGGTTTGCGACAGTGCGGGTCCCGCATGCCACAGCTGTCTGGTCTGCAGCCCTCCAAGGAGAAAGGCCCAAGCCCCCCCAGGAAGATCTCCAGAAATTTAGCTTGTGAAATGTACTTTGAAATCGATGGGCGGGCGGGGGGGATTGAATACTTCTACCTGAAGACTGTGTTTTAGTACTTTTACAAGTGTCAGTCATATACAGCACTCATATTTCGTTGGGGGTCAGCTTGTAGTGGTTTTTAAACTGCCCCCCCCCTAATAGTTTGTAAAGTCTGGATTTGAAGTGGAACAGGGTGGAAGAACCCAGGCAATTAGAGGCTCAGAACATTGATGCTGCTGTCAACATGTCCAGTCACATTAAGTCAGCATGACTGTTTTTGGGAAGGTATTGAGGGGAGGGGTTTATACTGAATTTCCTAATTGGCCGACTGTCACGACTCGGTGAACGCTAACAAAGCCAGCTGATGTGTGTTTTTGTTTTGGGGGTGCATTAGTGCTCGTTCTGCATCTCGCACGCAGCAGTTTGCACAAGCGGCCAAAAAGCCGCTGGCGTGTAACAGGTCTGCATTCTTACCGCGGTAACATGCGGGTCCAGTAAGCGGACCGGAACCCGCAGCACACGACCCGGGTTTGGAGGGAGATGGATGAGGCCTGGGAACGAGCCAGCCTTGATGACAGGCTGTTTGTGCAGTGGACAGCGTGCAGTGTCCTGCGCGGGTGCAGATGCGTGCAGCAGATGTGCACTGAACACAGCCATGTCTGCGCCTTGCAGGTTTGATCGGTTTGAAGTGCTGGCGGTCTTCGCCTCCACGGTGCTGGTGCAGCTGGGATCCCTCTTCATCCTCAAGGAGAGGTAGCCAGCCCTTGCTCTTCCTCCTCTTCCTCACTGCTCTTCTACTTGCCCTCTACACCATCCCCATGGCTGTTTAGGGACGAGTATGTGTGACCCACGGATCACTGACCTCTCCGTCTGTACAAAAGGTGTCTGTGTCTGTGTGTGTGTGTGTCTTTATTTGTGTGGCTGTTCATTTGCACACACCCGCAAGGTTCTTTATCAGAGTCTGACACCGAGCTGCCCCCCCCCCCCCTCCAGCTAGATCAGCTTGGTTTGTGATGGACTCAGTGCCTTTTGGGGGAAATAAGGGTCACGGCTGGTGCATTTAGCAGCCAATTAACAGGCCGGTTTGGGTTTTGACCCGCCCAAACAGTCTGTCACTTGCTGAGTGACTGCTTCTCCTCTACACGCACACACACATGCACATGCACACGTGATCAGCTCCTGAGAGCCGCTAATGGTCCCGAGCAGGTACCACCCAGCCCGGCCCGGCAGGGAGACGAGCCCGTCCTCAGGGTCAGCCAGAGGGCAGGCTGCCCGCAGTGCCAAGGCCGGCCCACTTTTTCCCCAGGCTCTCCCCGAGACGCACTGCTGACCCCCATCTGAACCCTCGTTATGCTGGAGACCCAATGAGCCTCTGTGGGGCAGGGAATGCCTGGAATATCATAGACCCGCCCCCTAATGTCTCTTTAGCACCGATTGGCCTGTACACTCACAACCTGTCCAGTCATCTGCCAAGTCGAGCACAGCTAGGGGTAATGTACTGAAGAAATGCATTATAAAAACCCATAATAAATGGCTTATAATGTAGTACATTATTGTTACGTTGAGTTGTAGCATCTTTGCTGTTACATTCCATTCATGTGACAAGTACACACTATCTTATCTTTAAGTGAATTACGGTCGGGTGCAGCCACGTGATTGGCTGTGTGGAGGAGCATCACCAAGCCGCTGGACCAATAATGTGGCCTCTCAGTGTGAACTGTTCCCTGTGCGTTAGCTAAATGCAGTCCCTCCTGAGAGCGTCACTCAGTGTTGAATGACCAGTAAAACGTTTCGCGATGCTCATGGCTCTTCATGGGTGTTACGAAGTAGCCATGAATGTTTCATGTGTTGATGTGCAGACGGTTTTCAGGAGGTTAAAAGTGTGACCCGGCTTAGTTTACTGGCTAAGTTTTAAGCTCAGGTATGTGCGTTCCCCCCCCCCACCCCTCCATGAGGTCAAGATGACTTCTACTGTCAAGTCCAATGTTTATCTGTATTAATGCATTTTTCAATGCCCCCCCCCCCCTTCCTGTTTGTCCAGCGTGGAGCGATTGATGGATCAGCCAGAAATCCACACGTAAGTAACGATGACCGAAGCGGAGGGGTGGGGGGTTGTCATAAAAATCCAACAATGTCTTAAAGCTGGAGTGTCTGGATTTACCTGTCCTGGGTGATTCTCGTCCCATTTTCTGTGAATCGGGGTCCGATTCCAGCCGGGAAGCTGCTGAACATATCAGGAACAACTCGGGCCGTTGGCCATTAAAGTGACGAGTCTCCTGCTTCAGACGTCGGGTGACATGCAGCTAAAACTTCAGGAGACCTGATCTGTTTTGAGTCCTGTACCCATCAGATGCGTGTGTCCGCAGTCTCGCGCGGAACACCGACACCCCCTATTGATTTGTTTGTATGGCATTTTAAAGGGATTTTTCTCCCGAATGTTCCCGCGGCCGGAGCCAGGATCGGCGATCTCGTTACTTTACGTGTAACGTGACCGTCGCTGGACGGCAAAGTGCAGCTGAGCCGTGCAAACGGGGGCCTCTAAGTGCCGGTGATTCTGTATTTTGGAGGTTACTGGGAGATTTTTAAGTATTTATTTATACATACATACAGACACTGGTACATATCCAGCATCAGTCTACAGCAAACGCAGCCTGAAACCCAGCGTGAAAACAACAACCCAGCCTTCTGTTATTTCAGAATAATCTAATTTGGGTCTTTGTGTCTGAAACTTCTTGTTGCATTTTCAGCTAAATTCTTAAGGGCTTCAGTTCTGCAAATCACTGTTCGTTGTAAGTGGCATGTTGAGCGATAGAAGGCCATCTTCCTTGGCCATCTAGCAGAATTGGTGTCCTCCTCTTTTTGTGACTCATGCAGTCTTCAGGGATTATCTGGTATCAGGGCGTCGTTTTCATGCACTTGTGATTAGTTTCGCTGGCCAGCAGGTGGCATGGTGGTTAAGGGTATGTCCTGCTGTATTATGAGCAGGGTAATAAATGCCTTCAGCTGATTGGCTTATCGGCTCCCCCGTCTTTGCAGAGGCCGGCTACTGGTGGGGACCTTTGTGGGCCTATTCTTTAACCTGATGACCCTGCTGTCTGTGAAGAATAAGCCCTTCGTTTACGTCTCGGAAGGTAAGCACGCTGCCCCCCCCCCGCCTCGCCTCCCCACTTCAGGGCTTCACCTGGCCAGCGGCCGTTGTGGCGTTCCTGCTGTGACTGGGTTTGGGCCCACAGGTTAGGACCCTGATTCCCACTGGAAACTTCGAGGGGGGGGGGGGTGGTTCTCAGGTGCTGATACTGGTTCTGCCGTGGTGTGGGTCTGCACCTTCTGCTTTGAGTCCGCGCTGTAAGGTGTAGTGAACACCCCCCCCCCCCCTTTCTACTCCTGCTCGTGGTGCCGTCTTTTTGGTGTTCAATCCGAGTTGTAGGTCAATCCCACAAATAAAATGCAGAGAAGTTCCATCTTGCTGAGTCTGTGCCCCCTTGCGATTGGTTGAAACACCGTGAGGGTCAGCGGACATCCATGACTCGGGTGGCGACGGTAAGGGCTGCATCATCGACATCGATTGCCTGGTGCAGTGTGAAGGCCGCTTCATCACTGGGCGACATGCTGCCGCCCGCGGTTTTCTGAGTGACCACTAGAGGTCTCAGTGTCAGTATCCTCGCATGTCACACCGATGATCTCTGCTGCTGGGTTCTCAATATAAAGTGGGCCTGAAATGTCATTATGAGTGGGACAAAGGCATTCCAGCCTGCCAGCGATGGGTGCTTTAATCTCCTCTGTCCTTTTTTATCATCCTGCTGAAGACAAAGGTGTCCAGTATCTCTGTTTTATCTATTCTCATCTGTATGAATAATTTATTCATCATAGGACCTTATCTATCATGGAATCGATGGGACTGACAGCTTATAGACAAACACGGCGGCAGACTGTAACGGCTGAGGGAAGGAAGACTTCAGCTTCGGGCCTAATTAAAGTGGCGCACGTGCATTTATACCATTGGATCCGGCTGTCACAGTGGAGGATTGTGGGAGGCTGAATCACATCAGAGCACACCGTGATGAGCATGTCACAGTAGCAGGCTGTGTGTGCCCATGACCGGCCCCTACCCACAGGTGCCTCACAATAATAGACCAGCGGTGCATTGCATATTGGGGGGGGGGCGCTCCGTTGCGACGGTACACAGTTGACCTTACACTGACGACTGGGCTTTAACCATCCATCTTGATGTACTGTTCACAGAATAATAATAGTAATGCTGATATTTTATAATGATGTGAATGTTTTAGCGATCTGCCTAATGTGTAGCATGTAAGCTGTTGCTAAGAGTGGTTGGATTACGCTTGGTTGGTGGTTATGGGAACTTGAATAGCTGCTGGCTTATTGGCTGATGGGGCAACCCGCAATCCGCCCATCATTAGGGTGAATCCGACATGCGATCCGTCGGGCCTGTCCGGCCGGTCCCCCCAACCGTTCCGAGCGCTGGCAGGGTGCCGTTTAACTGATACTGCCAGCATCCCGCTCTGGGCCGGCCCATGGTGCGAGCCACTGGCCGTGGGCTGGGGACGTTCCAGTCTGGGGAACCTCGCACTGGGACTCTGATTACAACCCGCTGAGCGTTGTAGCATGATTGGACATGTCATGCTGATCCTACATTAACTTCGGCCTTCCGTTATTGATTTAATTCTGATTGGCCATTTCCAGCTTTCTTGTTTTCATTTTAAGTTCTGATTGGCCGTCTCTTTGCAGGTGGGCAGACGAATCTGCCCTCAGTCTGCTTTAAAGCAGAAATGTTTGTTAGGTCCCTTTATGGGTTTGGGCTCAGGATTAACCCCAGAACCTCAATGCCGCTCGACTTGCTGTTTTGCGTGGAGCTTATTGGACAGAGATTCTGTCAGTTTGATCTGACTTTCATGCTTTAGCGCCGTCCGCTCATCCTCCCTGGGACAGAGTCAGTGTTTGCTGCTGTCTGAGGCCTTTCGGGGAGATTCTGCCCTTTGCAGCTTGGGCCCACTGGCACCAGCCTGCTTCTCTGCTTGCACACGCACACTGTCTGTGTTCACGCCTGCAGCCGCTGACGACTCGCTCCTCAGCACTGGGTCGCTCTTGCCGGGGGAGGCTCTGTCACAGACAGACTGTCAAACAGAATCGGGGGCAGCGGCGCTGATGCGTCAGAGGGCCGGAAGGGGCGAGCTGTGGGTCGGGGGGGACCGATGGCCGGGATGTGGATTGGGGGGGGCGGGCTGGGGGAGCGGTCGCAGTGTGTTCTGACCGCCTGCCTCTTTGTACTGGCCCAGTCGATCCCGGCCTGTGGTCAGCAGTGCCCCCGACTGGGACAGATGGCAGCAGTGTTGTGGTGGTCGCCTGCATGCATGTGGATGTGTAACTAACCCCGGGCCCCCCCC